CTGAAGACGATCGAGTAGTTAACGACCACTATTAATATCTGATAGATTGGCATGAAAACGGAGTGATCCCTTAAAACTAATTTCTTTGGCTTCGTGGTACAGGAATGTAGAAGGTGGATCTTATTTTTCCGTCACTTTGTTCGAAAGGTTTGGTGTATATCTGTTGTCTTCTAAATATCTATGGTTAGTTTGGTTTCTTTTTTTTCAAATCTTTGAAATTCCCCAAAAGAACGTTTGAAAACTAACTTGTTATAACCAAAAAAGGTAAAATATCAAACGCTTCCCAAGACCCGCCAAATGGCATGAATAAATTATTGACTATTCTAAAGATAAGCAATTGTTTTGTTTGAAATCTTGATTGAGAGTCCACTAAAGCTCTAACGTTGTAAGCGAAGCTAGATCTCGCAAGGAAGTTCTTATTTACTCCTCTTCACCAATAGCTCTTGAAATTCTTTCATGTAAAGTTGAAGAGTGCTGTAAGTCTTTTCTGAATTCTTTCGGTTTTCTTTGTTATTGAAAATGACAACTTTGATTTTCAACATCCTGGATGGAAAATTGTTACTTTTGGAAATGTTTTTTCTTAGGAAAGCCACAAGATTTATTGTGATCTACTCGCAAAAGTGTCATCAAAAGACCCAGTGAAAAATTTGCGTAATGTGTTTACCAATAGTGATACTAAATAGTATGATTACAGCTGCACGCAGATGCACATACTTGATATCTGCTTTGCTGTGCTCTCTTTCCTTTCCTCCTTCCTTACTCCTTTCTTCATTCTCTCTTTCTCTTTTTTTCCTTCTTTATTTCTCCTTTCTTCCTTCTTTCTTCCTTCTTTCTTCCTTCTTTTGTTCAACCCGTATACAACTCCCTATTGAACGACACTGCACTCATGTATTGTTTTTGTTTGTTTGTTTGTTTGTCTGTTTGTGGGTTTATGTTTGCTTTTTAATTCATCTGTTCTCGGTTTTATTTTTATATGAAATGTGCTATGTCCTTTCTATTAAATTAACAAGAACTATGCTCGTCTGTCCTATAGTACTTTGGAAATAACAATAGCTTGAAACTAATCGCCTGGGAAAACAACATCACACTGCCCGACAGATTGCATGGTCGCAGCTGTCATGCATGGTACTTATTATCTAAATGTAGGAAAGGTTTGGAAATGCTTGTGTTTTGCCGTTGGTTTGAATTGAGGAAATAGATCTAGTTGGGTATTGTTGAAGAATTAAAACCATAGAAATCCGTTCACATAAATTTATGTCCTGCATTTCTTATGCACTCTACCAGTGAGAAATGGCATGCATTCTCAGATTTCTGTCTAAAGATGATAAGTGCTGAACGACGTCAGCATTTTGAAAATAATTCCAAGTGCATGTTTATACATTAGGAGAGAGAAAGAGAAGAGAGAGAGAGAGAGTAAGAGAGAGAGTAAGAGAGAGAGAGAGAGAGAGAACTCCCACCAACAAAGCTTCGAGGCAATCATAGTTCGGGTAGCGAGCACTTTTTTTGGAAAGTGGTTTACGGCGCTTGCAACTGCATAAAGTCATATGAGAGCGAGGGACACATTAAACATTTCATTTTCAGTTGGTAGAAAATTTTGAATTTTGCCTGGGTGGCTGTCAAAACCTACTCTTATCGATTTTAGACCACAAAGGGATCTTTAACGTGTGCAACTTGTACTCGGGACCTCCGAGATTTTTCCCCCTTGTGCGAGAAGGCGAGGTGTAGATCTTTCCTGCCACAAGATCAGGGGTGTGGAGGAAAGAAAGAAGGAGCCAAAGAGAAGCAGTAGAACGGCTGCAAAAAGAGTCAGAAGCCCATAAGAGGGGGCAAAGGAGGTGAGGGGGTGGGGGCAGAAAGTGGAGACGAAAGTAGACGACAGAACATTGCCAGAGAGCAGGAAAGGAGCTGAAAGGGGACAAATTTAGAGAAGAAATTGTTTCGGTCGCTACCTGGATTCGAACCGAAAACCTTGGAATGAGAGGCGAACACCTTAACCTCTAGTCCACGAGAGCCCCCTGCGAGCACTTTAAGCATTAATGTCTTTCATAGTACTACATTTCCTCTATACTGTCAAAATAATAATTATTCTTATTGATGTTGAACTGTTCCTAAAAAGCCACCATTTCTTCTTCTGCCATACTTCAAAAAGGTCTACAAGTTTAACACCCCTATAAGGTTACTGAAGGGGCGGAGTACTAGACGTCTACTGGACCTACCTGACTATAACTCAATTTTTAAATATATAAGTGAAGTTCTACAATAGTGTGTCAAAAATTCGTGGCGCAACTTATTGTCAAATATTTCCTAAACTATCCAAAATACACTCTCCAACTTTTACATTATGACTTGATTCAATTTGTCTTAACAGATCAATATTGTTGTAAACACCTGTTAGCTGTATTCTAGAAAATATCTTAATAAATACTAGTTTTAAAAAATCCAAGTGGGTGGTTTCGTTAGATTTTAAAAGTTTACACCTGGAACAATTATATCGCTTTTAAAAGCAAGTCCGGTGTTTTTCTAATCATGGCACTATCTTTATTGAATGCATGTTTTGAGAACCTGCCTTTAGTGACAACAAAAATGTTTTCACTATAAACGTAATGTCTTGTAAGAAGCTTTGCCACTCATAAGTGTCATTGGTGAGCTGTGACGTAGGTCATGTGCGTATGCAAATGGTGTGTGGGAAGCGGGAAGTGATGTAAACAACTCCATTTTCCGCTTGACGAGATTTATAGTGTTTTGTATAAATTTATGAAGAAAAGTTTTTTTTAATCTAGCCTCAATTGTTGAGGGAAAATATGATTAAGTTAAGAGAAATTGATGCAAAACTGCTGTGCGAAGTATGGATGACATTGATTCACCTGTTAAAGAGATATTTGGGGATACGTTGTGCCACGAATTTTTGACTGCACTATAATCAGATGGTGCCAGTTTTCGTAGATAATTAATTTTTTTTTAAATTTTAGTGTACATTTGTAATATACCTGCATTTTACAATATTGTAGACTCGTCTTTTTATTAATAAATAAAGTTATACAAATCAGAAGGCACCATTTTTTAAAAAAAATTTTGGGCAGATAACGAGTTTGGGGCTAAAAAGTATAATTATAATATACTCGTATATTTTGACTCTAACCAATAGAATGGGAGCTAATGCTTTTAGTCTCATTCCACACCACATAAGCATCAACTTCATCATCGTCATCATCAGCAACAGCAACAACAACAGCAACAATAACAGATAGTGAAAAGAATACTATATTCTTTGTGAGTGCAAGTTTTGAATTGCAACCTTTCAATCACAACGGTTTACTCGAACATTTAATTTAATGGAGAGCTTGATCATTTTTCAGTTGTAATCAAAATAGAGTCAGCCTTAAAGATTACACAGAAACAAAATACTGAAGGCTTCTTTACCTGAAACTAAAGAGGCCATGAACTAATAAGTGGAGCAGAAATTGATACCACTGGTTGATACTTGCTGTCAGGATTATGAGATCCGAGGTTTCTCCGAGCAGCAATATTCAACTGATTCGAAGGTTCAAGAAAAGCCCTAGAAATACGAGATTTTTTTTCAATGCAATAAAAATCTAAGATATATTTAATACCCCGAGGCTGCAATATCTGTTGACATAAAATTTCCGCCTGTTTTTATCATTGACATTTTATGATCTTCTAGTTGGCCAGTTCGCTTGCTTGGTCCCTTGTTTTAACCGCTGGCTGAGAGAAATGATTAAACAAAGATACAAAAAAAAATTGAGCTAATCTGTCTCGGGTTTTAACCTGACGCTGCTGCTTGTTAGACTCAAGTTTATAACACTTACTCTCCAATGACCGATCAAATGTCAGCATTATTTCAGTTGGTATCGAGATGAGCTGCAATATCGGGCAGGAACTGGGTCGAGTTGAAATTTCCACCAGGAACCCGTTGAGTCAGTTTAAGATTTTCGCAATGGATTCTTCCGTGCACCAACCAAGACTTTGTTGAAATACTTTCTAGTTAATTGTATTTCTTAATTTACACACTTACGAGACAGGCAGAGAAATTATGGAGAAGTAAGGGCAGCTATAGGCACTGCTTGCATTTCATAGAAAAACAGAGAATGAAATGGTTCAGCCTCGAAAGCCTATATCACAAAGCACTCAGACTATAAAGGAAGAGATAGACCACGCAAAAGATGGATCGAGGGAGTCAAAGAAACCGTGAGAGATTATAATGTTCATACACTCACTAATATAAATGGAGTTCCACGCTTTTCAAAGTTCGATTTGTGCAATCTCCTTCGAAACAGCTTGTCCCTACCAGTGTCTAGAGTTTAAGACAGCACCTCAGAAAATCCCAAGGTCTGCTATCATGTCATCACTTCATCTTTTTTATTGGCCAGTAACTTTTTCTTTCTCTCTTTCTTTTCACAATTTCCTTTTCGAAACAGCAGTGTACTTGATGTGATTAAAGAATTTTATTTTCCTTGTCCTGATTGTATCCGGCATTCGGTGTTCGTTTTAGACTATTCTTTTGATGGGTTTTCTTACCTAGGTACTAATGAGTGGAGAGGGAGTTTAGCTTAAATGATAACATTGTCAGTCACTGCTCTCTTCCTCAAAATTGGCGACTCCTCGTGACCTTTCATTTCACCCTTTCTAAAGTACAATATTTTATCTCCAATTAACGATCAAACCACAGGACAGACGTTCCAACTTAAGAATAACTTAATTTGTATTCGTTTAGGGTTTTAAACTTTATGAAAAAAATCATGCACGTAAGCACACACACACGCACACACACACACACACACACACACACACACACACACACACACACACACACACACAAACGTATACACGCACACGCAAATAGACACCCCCACCACCCACGCACAAACAAACAAACTATATATTTGCACATATAACATAATATTATCCAGTTGTATAATGACTTGCAAGGAAACAATGCATAGATCTAGAACAGCGTTACATTGTGATTCTTTTTATAACAGGTAATATGGGTCAATCCCCGTAAAACTCTGATCAGTCTGGAAGATCGAAGACTGATCGATGATCACAGGATCAGTGTCGAGAGACCTTATATAAAGATCTGGAACCTTCTGATTCGTGACGTCAGATACAATGACAGCGGGACCTATGAGTGTAAGGTCAACACGACTCCGCGCATGGTCAAGAAGGTCACCCTGGAAGTTCAAGGTTGCCCATTGTTATATTAATATATCAGTTTTATTTTGTCTGTTAGCTGTTGTCGTATTTTTTTAACCGTTGCTTATGTTTACATATTCTTCTTTGTCTTGACTACATGTATCTACATCTGACTGTCTGTCTATCCAACTTTCTATCAAATTTTCCTATACAATAAACTTTTCCTTCCTAAGTCATTCAAAATTTGAGCGAAGTCCAAATTTACGCTTTGTCCAATAATTATATCTTCAATTAAAAGGCTTGATATGCTTCGCACACGATTTTGAAAATAAGTAAAGATAATGTAACCATGGTAAGCCTGCCCTGTTAATTGGTATCATATAATAGGTGTTTTACAGCGCTTTAAACACAATATTGTCAAGTAAGCGCCCGTGTATTTTGCTTAAAAGATTCCAGAAAGTACCTTACAAAATTTTAATTGTTAAAGTTTGCTTCCAGATGCGATAGTTTAGTTTGATAAAAGTTTTACGGCGCTCACAATCATATAAGGTCATACGTGCGTGCAGATTTGGTTGAAGCAAATGTTCAAAAATAGTATTTTTTCCATGATGTTTGATTTAATTTCTATTATTATTGTTGTTTCTATCTTGTGTCCAGTCCCACCGGCCATCTTGAGCCAACTGTCCTCTGATCGGGTGACACTGGAGGAAGGGGAGTCTGCGACTCTTGTGTGCAACGTCACAGGAATACCACAGCCGAATGTCACGTGGTACAAGAGGAACCACAGGGAAATCGTGCCTGTCAAAGAGAGTATGTATCTTTGGATTGGGTCTGTTTGTGAGTCTGTGTGAGTTTGTGCGCCTGTGTGTGATGTGTAAAAGTGATATAATATAATATAATATA